GTTGAGCCTGATTTTATCAGTATTATTTTTCTGAAGGTGTTTTTATCAGAGCAGAAATTAACTCTGAGGGGCTTGAACCTGATCTTATCAGTCATTTTACCTTGTCTCATGATAGAGACCATTTTATCAGAGTAAGAATCTTCTCTGAGGGGTTTAACCTGATTTTATCAGTCATTTTATCTGTCTTCAGACAGAGACATTTTTATGAGGGAAAAAATCCTCTCTGAGGGTTTAGACCTGATTTTTTTCCATTCCCAGAGCCCTTTCAGGAATTTTGGACACTGGAAACTCAACGCTGCCTTAAGTTGGGTGTGGTGGTAGCCGGTGGTGGGGATTTCTCATCCTTGGGGATGTATTTTGCCACGTGGATGTGCCTCTCCAGGAACAGCAGCCATCCCAACCCCCCGAGAAGCTTTCCCTCACATCCCAAAGGATTTGGCACCACAACCTGGAGAGAATTTTCTGAATTTGGCTGCATTTCACCTTGAAAAATTCGCTTTTACCATAACATTTTTGGATGTGGGTGTTTAGCCAGCAGTGAGGATCAATGGGAATGAGGGAAAGGCTCATCCTGGAGTTCCAACATTCCTTTTTCCTTGCAGGATCCACACGGGGGAGAAGCCCTTTGTGTGTGACGAGTGTGGGGCCCGCTTCACCCAGAACCACATGCTCATCTACCACAGGCGCTGCCACACAGGTGAGGCTGGAAAACTGGGAAAATCCAATCCCAGCCATTCCAGGGAAAATGCTGCCTTCAGAAAATGCTTTTTGTCTGCATTTTTTATGGATAAAACGAGATATTGTCATCTCTTAGGTGGGATTTGCCTGAGAAAGGTTCCCAAGGATATCTCGTGGTTTGAAGCTGAGGGAGGGTTGATTTAAATTGGGTTTTGGGAAGAAATTCCTCCCTGTGAGAGTGGTGAGGCCCTGGAACAGTTTTCCTAAAGAAGCTGTGGATTCCCATCCCTGGAATTGTTCCAGGCCAGGTTGTGAGGGGCTTGGAGCAGCCTGGGATAGGGGAAGGTGTCCCTGCCCATGGAATGGTTTGGAACTGGGTGGCCTTTAAATATCCCCACAGTGAGGACATGCTCCAGAATTTCTGTGGGATTTTAACAGCATTCCCAAAGCTGTGCTGGTTTAATCCTCCTTTTCCCCCCTTTTTTAGGGGAAAGGCCATTCATGTGTGAAACCTGTGGGAAGAGCTTTGCCTCCAAGGAATACTTGAAACACCACAACCGGATCCACACGGGATCCAAGCCCTTCAAATGTGAGGTTTGCTTCCGGACCTTTGCCCAGAGGAATTCCCTGTACCAGCACATCAAAGTCCACACAGGTAGGATGTGTCCCTTTTCCTGGATACACAGGTAGGATGTGCTCCTTTCCTTGGACACACACCCCTCACCGCTGCAATATTCCAGCAAGGAATTCTCAGCCAGGTTTTTCCCCGTGTGCACTGCTTGATGTCTCGTGTTCTCCCCCTTCTCCCACTAGTCCTGAGTGACAGCAATTCCCTGGAATGCTTCCACAGGCTGTGGAGATACCTTAATAACCTGCCAGGATCATTGGTGATGGAGAGCTCTGGTATAGCTCCGAAGGTTTATCTAGGGAAGGAGGAAAATGGGATCTCTTTCCAAACAGGGAGTTTGTGGCGTGTTCAGGGTGATCCCAGGGCTGGGAGTGGCTCAGGGGTTCTTGCTCAGAGAAGAGTGAACAAGGGGGATGAAATACTTGGATTATGGGCAGGACTTGAGTCTCTAATGGAAAATCCATGGAAAACCAGAGTGGCAGCACATCTGTATGGGCTGGGAGGAGCTTGCTGCCTGCAGACGTGTTGCAGTGTGACATTGGTACCCCAGGATGTTTTCCCTGAGCACTCCCTGTCAGCCAGGGGTAGCTGGGCACTCCCAGGGCACAGCAGCTGTGCTCTGCCCGCGTTCCCAGCCTGTCTCCCATGCCACATTCCCAGGGGAGCGGCCGTACTGCTGTGACCAGTGTGGGAAGCAGTTCACGCAGCTGAACGCGCTGCAGCGGCACCACCGCATCCACACCGGCGAGAAGCCCTTCATGTGCAACGCCTGCGGCAGGACCTTCACCGACAAATCCACCCTGCGCCGCCACACCTCGGTACGGCCCATCCCACAGCTAGGGGGAATGTCGGGAAGGAACTGTTCCCTGGGAGGTTGGGATGGCCCTGGCAAGGTTTTTCCAGAAAAGGTGTGGGTGCAGGACCTTCACCGACAAATCCACCCTCCGCCGCCACACCTCGGTACAACCCATCCCACACTTAGGGGCGATGTTGGGAAGGAACTGTTCCCTGGGAGGCTGGGATAGCCCTGGCAAGCTTTTCCCAGAAAAGCTGTGGGTGCAGGACCTTCACCAACAAATCCACGCTGCGCCAGCACACCTCAGTACAATCCCACAGTCCTAGCGTGCCTGGAGCACATTCCAGCTCCTCCGAGCCACGTTCCATGGGACTGGCGGATCAAGCCCAGAGCAGACTTCCAGTTCAAGCGGATGGAAGTTGGGGTTAAGTGGGACGTTGGGAAGGAATTGTTCCCTGGGAGGTTGGGATGCCCCTGGCACAGTTTTCCCAGAAAACCTGTGGGTGCAGGACCTACACCGACAAATCCACACTGAGCCAGCACACCTTAGTACAACCTCACAGTCACGGGGGATGTTGGAAAGGAATTGTTCCCTGGGAGGTTGGGAAGGCCCTGACACAGTTTTCCCAGAAAACCTGTGGGTGCTGCATTCCTGGAATTGTTCAAAACCCGGCTGGACAGGGCTTGGAGCAACTGGGACAGGGGAAGGTGTCCGTGTCCATGGCAGGGGGTGGCACTGGATCATCTTTATGATCCAGTCTTCCAATCCATAGCATTCCATGACTCCAGAAACCTTTTCTACCAACATCAAATACAAGCTTGATCCATACTTTTCCTTGTCATCCCGTATCCAGCCTTCTCTGTCCTGGTTATTCCTTTGCAGATCCATGATAAAAACACCCCCTGGAAGTCCTTCCTCGTCATCGTGGAAGGAGCCGCAAAGAATGACGAGGGGCACAAAACAGAGCTTCCTGATGAGGAATACGAGGTGTCCCCCAAAATCCCGGAAAAGCTCCTGTCCTTCCCAGAGAACAGCCCCTACCAGAGCCTGGCAGCAGTCCCGGGAAGTGGGAATTCCAGCACGGACTGTAAGGCCTCTGGAGCACAGGAGTCCCTGCTGGGAGAACTCACCATGCTCCACACGCAGACGGACTCTGGGCAGCCCCAGCTCCATGCCCTGGTGAACATGGAATAATTTGGGATTGCCTCCTGCTCTTTAGGCTGCACCCCTTGTACAGTCCTTGGCCTGAGGGAGGCTGGTGGTGGGAAGCTGGGAAAGAGTGGGTTTCCAGCTTTCCTCTGGAAATTCCTTCCCCAGCTCCATCTCCTGATGGTCGGGCAGGGTGGCACCACAGCAGGGAATTTGTGGGAGTTGATCCCCTGCGAATTCAGGGGGTGGCTCAGGTACCTTGGTGGTGCAGGTTTGTTTTCCAGGGAATTCAATGCCACATGGACAATCAGGAGAACTGATGTTTCTCTATGACATTTGCTGCGTTTTCCCCAGTGGAATTTCATCCAGGAGAAGTCTGGCTAAATTTGCTTTTCAGGAAATGTTGGTTTCTCTCTGCTTTTGCCAAAGATCCCAACGAGTGGGAGCAGCTTTGGAGTTTCATTCCAGGAGTTTGGAGTCTCTGAGCAGCAAAAAGGGGCAGGTGGCAGCCAAGTGCTACTTCCTTGGTTTTACAGTTGCAGGGAAACTGGAGCAGTCTGGCACTTGGATCCTGTCAGTTCTCACCTTCCAGCTGCTCCAGCTCCCATGGATTTGGGCACTAACTTAGGAGAACAGAACATCTCCTAGAAGAGAGTCTGTGAAAAGGAGCTGTGCTGGAAGGGGTTCAGTTCAGAGGCTTTTCCTGCTCCATTTTTAGTGGAATAGGATTTGAGGGATTTCCCCTGGGCAAGGAGGGAGCCTTGGAGTGTTGTTCCAGCTGGGCTGACTCCTCTTTTTTCACAACAGCAGCTCACTGTGCTATGGTTTAATGCTTCAAACCTTGGGATGGGCTTCCCAGTGTAAAAACCCACAGCTTTCCCCATTCTTTTTCCCATTTCTTTGCCTGTTCTTGTAGTATTCCCACAGCAGTTCCTCAGCTGAAGCTGTGAGCAGAACTTTGGGAAAGGTAAGCACAATCCAGCCTGGTGAGATCCAGCAATAAAGACACCCCCCCCACCCCCACCTGTGGCACAGAGCTATTTTTTGGGATAAAGGGATGGCGGAGGCGTTCTCATGGAACTTTAAGATAGAAAAAAGGGAATTTTTGTACCAGAGGACATTTCCAAGAGGTTATATTTGAGATATTTATTCCCGATGGAAGGAAAGGGGTTGTAGATATATTTAAGGGCTGAGCACTTGGATCTGGAGCCGGGGAATGTTTTGTACTCTGTGAACACACGGAACTGAGTTACTTGTTTGAGCTGTTCCTATTAAAATATGGAATATGGAGACCTCCCAGTGACTCAGTCGTATCCAGTGGGACACTTTGGGATATTGACAGGCTTGGAAAGTTCACCTGAAGAAGGGAAGGTTCCCTGGAAACCTCAGAAGGGGCCTGCAAGGGAAAGTGTGAGGGATTCTTCATCAGGAATTATAGTGACAGGACAAGAGGGAGGGAATGGCTTCCCAGTGACAGAGGGGGAATTCAGGTGGGTTATTGGGAAGGAATTCTTCCCTGTGAGGATGGGGAGGCCCTGGAAGAGTTTTCCCAGAGAATCTGTGGCTGCCCCATCCCTGGAAGCTGGGATAGCAGGTGTCCCTGGACCAGGATGAGCTTTAAGGTCCCTTCCCACCCACACCATTCCCTGATTCCAAACAGGACCTGAAGGAATCACACCCCTCCCAGCCTCCATCATCCCACCATGCTCCACGCTTTTGAGTTTTTCAGAAGAACCACTTCTCCCTCCTTCCATCCATGATTTTCACTTTATTCATGTACAGAGTCACACCAAACATGATATTCTTGCTAAGGCCATTTCCTTAAATAAGTTTTCCAAGTAGAGAGTGATGGAGGTGGGGCGGGAATACAGCGGGAGTGGCGGAATTGTCACCTGGGAACCGTCACAATTCACCATGGATACAGCAGAGGACATGCTGGAGCTACTCACACACAACTACCAGGTGTAGGGATGGAGTAACAGCCCTCCTGCTCCTCCTGTCCTACAACACCGACACGGGGAACGGCAACAGAACCGAAAAAACACCGGGAAAAGTGGAGCCTTCCAAGCTGTGCTTCCCCTCATCCCGGCTCTCACAGTGCTGGATGCCTGATAAAGCCATTCCTAAGGGTGGGAATGGATGAATTCTGTGTGCTTCCAAGCCTGGAGCTGGGAGACCCCACCCCCACTGCCTCCCAACTTATCCATCTGGTTGGGATGTTTGGGATGAACACAAGGACCTGTGGGAAACGGAGATCGGGAAGGGTGGGAAAACACCAAACCAAGGAGAATTTGGCATGGATCAGGATTTTTGGTTTTCAGAACTTTAGAGCCCAACGAGCCAAGCTCCATCCAAAGCCCAACATTCCAACCTGACTTCTTCCAGAGGAAAGAGGGGCTGGGGCTGCCTGGAGCCTCCAGAGCAGCCCTCAATTAATGACTTCACTCTTCCCAAAGAGTGACAAATTGCACAGGCTCCCGACGCCTCCGACGCATCCTGGAAAAACCAGGCAGCTCAATCCTCTCTCCTTAACCACACACCCGTCAATTCCTGCAGGAATTTTTCAACTTTTCCCAAACAAACTGTGCCCCCCTGCCACCCGAATTCCAGCAAGGCTCCCATGGGATCCACGTCAGAATTTAGGGATTGTGCCCGGCACACGCAGAGGGTGAGGTACAAAAATAGATCCTTCCTCGGGTGGAATTATTTGGAAGTGGAGGGATGGGATGCACCATGAACTAAAGTGGAAAATCAATCCAAGAAAGATGGAAACCAACCAGGACCTAGGGCCGACATGGATCCCAGGCTCCTGGAATGCCTGTGGCGTGGTGGGGGTGTGCGGGATATTCCCAATTCCCAAAGCCTCTGCCTAGCACCATTTCCAGACCCCCAAATCCAAGTGTATCCAACACTTGAGAACGGGAAAACGGGAACACAACGGGCTGGAAGCGCTTATTGGTACTGTGCTGGCCCGGATGGAATATTTACATGCTGGAATCAACGGAACAGCAGGAAAACCGGGAGCTGCGAGTGCAGGCACCGGGATGGGCGGGACCAAACCCGAGGAGGAGAAGGAGGAATTCCGCTCCAAGGGCTTCTCCCGCCTGGCATCCGCCCGGAGCGTCACCACAGAGCGGGGGCTAAAGAAACACAGTGAGCCATGGGAGTGGGAAGCGACGAAAGAAAGCGCGGGATTGGGTCGGGAATTCCCGAAAAGTCCTCGGCTGGAGGCGGGAAGGGCCCGCGGGCGTCACTTGAGGTCGCCGTCGCCCTCGCCCTGGATGGTTTTCTTGATGCGCAGCAGCATCGTGGTGAGCCACTGATCCAGCCGCGAGATGGAGTCGAATTCCTTCACCTGGCACCGGCAAAAACGTGGATCAGGGAGCGGACGGGAAAGGGAACGAGGCGGGAATGCGACAGGGATGGGAGGGGGGGAGTGGCACACATGGGCTCGTCCTGGGAATGCCCAAGGGAAGGGGGAAAGGAGAGAAAAGGGAGAGGGGGAATGCAAAGAACAATAAAGGGAAAGGGAGGGGGGGAAACAAGGGGAAAGGGAGGGAAAAAATAAGTGGAAAAGGGAATAAAGGCAAAAAAAGGCAAAGGGGAAGCAAGGGCAAAGGTGAAACAAGGGCAAAACAAGGAGAAGGGTGGAAAAGGGGAAGAGAGGATAAAGGGGAAGATGAGGAAAAGAGGAAGAGGAGAAAGAGAAAGAACCAAGGGGAAGGGGGGGCAGGAAACGAGGGGGGAAAAACAAGAGGGAAAAAAACAAGGAGAAAGGGGGGGAAAACGCAAGGGGAAAGTGGGGAAAAACAAGGGAAAGGAAAAACAGTAAGGGGAAAAAGGAAAAGAAAAAAGGGAAGGGAAGGGAAGGGAAGGGAAAGGAAAGGAAAGGAAAGGAAAGGAAAGGAAAGGAAAGGAAAGGAAAGGAAAGGAAAGGAAAGGAAAGGAAAGGAAAGGAAAGGAAAGGAAAGGAAAGGAAAGGAAAGGGCAGTAGAAAGGAGGAAGGGAAAGAAAGAGGGGAGAGGGAAAAAGGGAAGGGGCTGAAAAAGAGGAAGGGCAAAAAAAAAGAAGTGGAGGGGGAACAACGGAAAGCAGTGGAAGAAAAGGGAATGGAGGAAAAAAAAAGGGAAAGAGGGAAAAGGCACAGGGCCACAGTCCAGAGAAAAGTCTCTCCAAACCCAACCCGGGCTCTTTAAGCTCCTGTCAAACACCAAGGGAGCTGGACCAAACCCAGGCAGGATCTGAACTCTCCATGAAAACCCAGGAATGTCACAGGAGGAAGCTGGGACCTTGCTGGAGCAGCCGTCCCCAGCCTCTCTCTGCAGGGCACAGGCATCCCAAAAAAGAGAAGGAGAAGCAGCATTCCCAAGTGCACCCATGAGTACTCACAGCCTCGGTGTAGGCCTCACTGTTCTGCTCCTCATGAGCTTCCAGCAGTTTCTGGGAAAACACCAGGAAAAATTAGGGAATGCTCTATTACTGCATGTTCCTGCTCTGGCATCTCATCCCAGGGAACAGAGACCCATGAAAAGCACCCACCACAAACAGGAATCTGGGCCAAACCCAGGGAAAAGTGAGGCTGATGTCCTTTAAAATGCTGGGATAAAGGAGAAAACCCCTGGAAAAGCGGGAAATCCCCCTGGTTACTCACTTTCAATAGCTTGCATTCCCGGGAATCTGTGAAAGCCGGGAACATTTCTTCGTATTTCTCCAGCGCAAGCTGGAAGAGAGAAGAGATCCCTTCGCACACCATTCCTATTTTTTTTCCTCAGGATTTGCCTTCCCATCCTCAAACTTAGGAAAGTATCCACCAAGAATCCAACGTGACAGTGGCACATCAAGAATTCCAGCCACTGCTGAGGAGGGATCAGGGATTTGGGGGTAACAGCTGTGAGCCCATCAAGCTTCTCCTGGCCGGCTGAGGCTGGTGAGGAGGAATTGGGAATTCTGGGATAACTGACCTTGGCATTCAGCTCATCCACGATGAAGTGGCACAGGGCAGCTTTGAAGAAATATTCTTTGGCGCTGTACTTGAGCAAAGGGTTATCCATCGTGTTTGTTCCCACCTGGACAAAAAAAACCATGGAAAAAAGGGGCAGGAAAAGAAAGCCTGGATTAAACTGATTCATATTCCACCCGAGACACAGGGCTGGGAAAAAAGGGCATGGAAAAAATGCCAAAAAGCTGTTGGAAAGCAGGGAGGTTTTGAACTCATCCCAAGGGAAGTCAGATCCCACCAGGCTGATGCTTGGTTGATGAGGAAATGGAAAAACAAATCCATCTGGGAAAAAGGTGCTCCAGGATTAACCCTCTGGATGCACCAAGCAGCACTGTTGGTATTTGCAGGTAAATATCCAACAAAAGACAGAGTTGATAAATCCAGGAGGGAATTTTCTTCCAAAGGGAGTTGAAAATACATTCAAAGGGGAATTTTTATGGATTTCTCCCAACCTTTTCCTGGAAACACTGAAAATCATGGATGTGGCACATAGGGACACTTGGCCATGCGGAGGGAACAGTGGGACTCTGACCTCAGAGAGCTTTTCCAGCCTAAACAATTCCCTGATTCTGGCAGTTTTGCCAACCCCTGGGCCCTTTTCCTTGGGAAGAGGTGCAATTCCCATGGGATTTGGCTCCTGACCTGCTCATAGATCTCGATGGCTTTCTGGTACTGCTCCAGCTGCGCCGCGTAGGCCGCCACCTTCAGCAGACACTTGTTGGCTGAGCTGCAACCACATCCCAAAAATCAGGCCCTGAATCCCAGGAATTCACCAGCCCACTCCCCCAGCACCCCTTCCCAGAGAGAGAAGTGGGAACCCACAGCTGGGATATAGAGGAATTCTCTTGGAACAGCCCAAATTAGAAGTGTGCTGGTTGTGGGAGTGTCTGGGATGGATTCCTGTTCCAGCCCTTCCCGCTGATCCCAAGGACTTGCCTGTTGGATTCCTCTCCCTTGTAGTAATCCGCAGCCTGCTCGTAGTGTGCGATGGCCTGGGGACAGAAATGTGGGATCAGTCACCCCAGGATAAAGCAGCCAGGGAACAGCACCAACATTCAGGGAGAGAGATGGGATCCAATGGAGCGGAGCTGAGGAAGGAAATCCTTGCCTGGAAAATAACCCCTAAATCTCATCCAGTTTTATCCTGCGAAATTCCAGCAGGAGATCCGCAGCAGGATTCCTGCTCAGGGAGTTTGGAAGTGGGAACGAGGGAATCAGTGCTGACGTGGGAACTAAAAGTGACTAAAATGGCTCCATGACACTCCCAAAGAGCTTTTCCAGTGGGAAACACCGAGATGGATTCTCACTGGTGCGTTCAGCCAGTGCTGCTGGCACAGGGACACACCAGAGACTTGGGATTGCTCCATGAAAGCCTCCAGGCTGGGAAAACCACTAACTCCAACTCAGGGCTGGACTGCACCTACCCCAAGAATTCTAGTGCTGGATGGGAGGAGGGAATTGTTGAGCTCAGGGCAAGGAAATCCCAGAGTGGTTTGGGCTGGAAGTGACCTCAACTGTGATCTCCTTCCACTGGGGGGAATGACTTCCACCATCCCAGCCTGCTCCAGCTTGGCCTTGGACACTTCCCGGGATGTGGCAACCACAAGTTTTCCGGGAAAGCCGTGCCAGGGCCGCCGGTGATGTCACTGATGCTGTCACCACTGTGTCCCCTCACCTTCTCGATGTCCACCAGCTCGGCCTCGTAGATCTCAGCGATGGTGATGTGGTGCTTGGCGGCGATGGTGAAGCGGCCCTGGGGACGGGAGGGGAGCGGGATGAGGCGCGGTGTTCCCGGGAAGCCGCGCGGCGTTCCCGGGAGCGGGGCCTTACCATGTCCGTGTAGATATCGATGGCTGCGTTTAAGCAGTTGATGGCCTCTGCAGCGTGTGTGAGAGACAACAGCGTCAGCCACCTCCCGTTCCCAAACCCACCCGGCACCTGCTCCAGGGAATAGCTGCCCACAGAGCAGGGCTCTGCAGTGACCTCAGCCCCAGCACCCCCAGCAATTCCCAAAGGGAACAAACACCGGGATGACCCAACCCCAAGTTTGCTGTCTGCATCACCCAATGGAGCAAACTTCAAGGGATCAACTCCAAAACGCTGCTGTTTTCCAGGGAATTTGGGAGTTTCGCCACTCTAAAAGGGTGTTATCCAGCCTGAGTTTGTTCCCATGTGTCCTGGGATAATGCTGGTGGGAGGTGGGGGGTTTGCTTCCAGACCTAGCTAGGGAAAAGTGGATTGGAGACCTTCCCAAAAATCACAGCCTGGTTGAAAGAATCCCAGATCCTTTATTCTCATCCCAACAAAGGCCAGGACTGGGGAAAGCCTCGGGAACATGGCAGGGCTCCTCCTGCAATCCAGCCCAGTGAGTGCCTGAAGCCATTCCTCAGGAAGCCATTCCCTAAAGCCAAGCCAAACCAGGATGGAAGCTGCCAAAAGTCCCAAACACCCTGCAGCATCCCAAATCCCAACAAACACCAAGAGGAGACGCCAGGCTAGCGCTGACCTCCTGCATCATCCCAAAGCACCTTCTGGAAAAGCAGGAATGCGGCTGTGCCAGCAGCGAGCGTTTGGCTGGGAGCAATCCCGCATCCCTGGCTGCTGCCGGGTCCCGCTGCCTTACCTTGCGGATCTGCTTTTTTGTAGGCATTCCCAGCATCCACAAAGCTGGTGGCTGAGTCGTGCTTGCTCTGGAGCTGCATGTGCAGCTTGGCTGCCTGGCAAAAGGCATTTCCTGCCGCTGGAAAAGAGGGAATACCCATCCCATGAATCCCATGAGTGAGAGGGAATGCGCTGCTTCCAGGACCTGGGGAGACTCAGGGATGAGGGCTTCCCAAGCAGGATCACCAGCTGGCATCTTAAAATTCCTCCAAGATCCTGCAGCTCATTCCCTTTGTCCACTCTCCCAGTATTTAAATAGGAATTGCATGGACACAGAGATCATTCCCCATGGAAAAATTCACAGGAAGACGTTTGGGCGCTCTGGGATCACCCACGCCCCCCAGATCCCAGGATTTGGGACTCACCACTCCAGTTTTTGGCGATCTTGAACATGTTGGCAGCCCTGGTGTACATCTCACAGGCCTCCTCCACCCGGGTGTTGCCCCTGGAATGCAGCGGGAATGCTCCTGAGGCCAGGCGGGGAGGGAATGGCTCCAGAGCCAAAACTGGGATTGGGAATTGGGAATCTTGGCCTCTTCAGGCTCTGTGAGGCTGATCCCATCCCTATATGAGAACACTGAAAGGGGAATGCTGGATTTGGGGGCTCTCCCAGAATTCCAAGATGCCAAAGGTCAGATTTTTGAAAAGGAAATGCAGATTTTTCATGGAAACTCTGGGAAAAAATAAAGCTCTGGGGGGATCTCCTTGGTCTCCATAACTCCCTGACAGGAGCCAGGTGGGATCAGGCTCTGCTCCCACAGAAAAAAAGGAATCCCAGAATCCTTAAGGTTGGAAAATCCCTCGAGCCCATGAATCCAACATTTCCCCAAATCCATGTCCCCAGGTGCCACACTGCTCTTAAATCGACCCCACAACAGGGATTATTCAATATTCTTTTCCATCCCCTGGGAATTCTGGCACTTTTCTCCCCTCACTCTCTCCCTCTGGCAGCCAAGCACGGTCAGTTTGGAAGCACAGGAGGGATTTTTGGATCCCTCCTTGCCCTTGGAAGGCACCTCTGGCATGAGCCAAAGCCAATGGAGGCGGCACCGAGGAATGCTACACTCCGAAAGGCCCCTGGAACAGGGCAGGTCCCAGCCTTTTAATCCCAAAAAATTAGAAATAAAGGAGTAACAGCTCTTGTGCAAGGTGATGGAGCAATTCCAGGAAGAGCCCAAGTGGGAAGAAGGCATTTGGCCGGCACTGGGAATCCTGGACATCCCGTTTGCAGGGAAGATGCCAAGAGCCGAGTCACCCCCACCCCCCCACCTTTCCTTCCTCTTTTTTTCCCTCCATCTGTTTTTAGCCCTGAAAATTAAAAATTCCTCTCTCAAAATCTCTGCCTGTTCCCTCCAAGGATTTTCAGGAATTTGCCACCCGGATTACGCTCCTGGAGCAGGCCCTGACTGATTAATCTGCCGGAGGCCAGAGAGAAATTTCTATTTAAAACTTGTGGATTTTCGGGCGGCTGCAGCCGATTTTTCCGGGCTGATGGATAAAAACCTCCCGGCCTCCACAGAGCATCGCTCCGGGAATGTTCTTTCCTTAAAAAAAAAAAATAAATAAACGGAAGAAAAGCAGGAGCGAGGTGGCCAAACCACCCCGTTTCCAGGCACACCCCCAGGAACAGCGAGCCCGGAGCAGCCAGGCCCAGGGAAAAGGACGCTCTGCCATTTTCTGGGATAACGCCGGCCGTAGTATTGGGGTTCCGGGGTTCCCTGGGGCTTCGGGAGAGCCCATCCGTGCCAGGGCGAGCCCCGGGGATGCCGGGAGATGATTCCCCCCGGGATAAGGCCGGGATGAGCGCGGGGAGGGGACAGGAGCCGCAGAGGCCGAGCGCGCCCGTCACATCCCTGTGGCCAGGAATGGCCAGGAGGGGCTGATCCAGGGGAATCCGCGTTTGGATCGGGATGGGAGCGCTCCGTGTGCCCCCCCTCCGTGCTCTGGCAGGGATAAGGAAGACTCTCACCCACAGTGGGGGGCAGGAGTTGGGAAAAAGGAGGAAGAAGTCGGGAAGGGGAGGATGGAGGAGAAGGGAAAGGGGGGCAGGAAATAGGGAAGGGGGCGGATGTAGGAGATGGGGAAGGAAGGGATGCAGGAGATGGGAGGGGGGCCGGGGGCTCAGGGGGTGATTCAGGAGCTGGGAATAGGGGTGTGAAGGGGGGCAAGAGCTGGAGAGGGGGATCCAGAGCCGGGGAAGGGGGGGGGAGATGCAGGAGGTGGGAAGGGGAATGCAGGAGGTGGGAAGGGGAATGCGGGATCCGGGCGGGGGGGATGCGGGGCCGCTCACCCGAAGAGCCCCCGCAGGAAGGAGTGCGAGCCCTTGACCCGCTTCTCGGCCTCCGCCATGAGCTGCACGGCCTCCCGCTCCTTGCCGGCGCTGTCCATCGCTCCCGCTTTTCCTGCTCTCCTTCCTTCCTCCTCCTCCTCCTCCTCCGCCGCGGCACCGGGAGCGCGCCGGGCGCGTACGCGGGGCGGGGCGCGCGCAGGATGCGGGATGCGGGATCCGGCCGGGATCGGGGATGAGCGGCTCCTCCCGGCGGGTGGGACCCGCGCAGCCGCGGCCCTCGGGCTGTTCCCAAAGCGGGATTCCTTCGGGAGCCAACTCGAAAGATGGCTGTGGGAATGGGAACGGGATCCCAGCTGGAGGTGGGATCTGTGGCAGCAGATCAGTCCTTATCCTGAAGGTCATTTATGTCACTCTCCGAGTTTCCAGGGAATTACCTCACCTGTAAACTCAGATTCCCGGGAGGAAGGCTACACTTTCCTGGGAATATTCCACACTAAGGATAATCAGAAGAAGGGTCACCTGTGTCCTGCCCCCCCTTACATGAGCGCACATTTGAGTTGTTCAAAAAGGCTCCTGGAAGGAGTGAGCCCTGTACGGAGAAAACTGGGATGGATATTCCTGCCTGATCCCTCCCCTGCGCACCCGGGTTGAGGGAATCCCGTAACGCCAACAACCGGTCGAACTACAACTCCCGGCGTGCCCCGCGGCCGGCGCGCAGCGTGACGACATCGCCCCGCGCCCGCTGTCTCCATGGCGACACTGGCGCATCCCGGCGTCGCTCCCATGGGAACGTCCCGCATGGCGTCTCGGGAACCGCGGGAACTGGGCAGGAAAGACCTCGCTCCGCTGTCCCGAATCCCTCCCTGTGAGGGAATGCCGGCTCTGCAGTGCCGGGAACACCCTGTGATGCTCCCCCGGGAAAGGAAATCCCGGCTCCGGTGTCCCAGGAATTCCAGGTGAGTGACCTGGTTTCAGGGCTGAGCGAAATTAAAGCCGGGAGCGTTTCCCAAGCCAGGAACTGCCACCCCCATCCAAGCTTGCTGGGAAACTGTTCCACACTGTATCCAAATTAACCCCAGGGGTTTTTCCCTTTTCCAGGCAGGACGACATGGAACCTTTTTCTCTCTCTGAGCTTGGGCTCCCAACAGAAAACAAAGCTATCCAGGGAATTCTCTGCCCCATGGCTGTGGAGCTCTGCCACCTCCTCCTTGCCCTGCAACGGGAAGATGGGATTTGTCCGGCCTTTCCCACTTTGGGGGAAAAGGCAGGAAAATTAGCCAAAGCTATGGAAGAACTCGCTGCTGTGGCAAGGAGGTGAGCTGGATGGGAGTTTCCCGCGTGGATTTGGGGGCTGGGAAGAGGTGGAAAGAGGGAGCCTGCATCCTCCTGGAGAGGCAGGATTGGGAGTAGGGATTAGTGCTGAGCCCAGTCCTTCCATTCCAGGCTGTCCGAGGATTCCAGCGAGGAAGGGAGCACGGAGATGTGTCCTGTGGGTGAATCCCTGCTCCAGGCTGGGAGGGACGTGGTGCTGGCAGCATTCCAGCTCCAGGAGCATCCGGACAGCCCTCGGCACCGAGAGCACCTGGCAGCGGCCGCCAGGAGGAGTCTGATGGAGACAGCAAAGGTGAGGGGACACCGAGAAGGGACATGAGCAGGGGGAAGCTCCAGCAGATCCATGGAGCAAACCACTCCTTCCCCCTCCAGGAATGGAAAGGGAATGAGAATTCCTGACCTGAGCGTCTTTTCTGCCTTGTTTCCTGGTTAGATCCTTCAGCTGGAAGAGGCTGCAGGGATGAGGAGGATCAGTGGTGCTGCCAGCTGGCTCCTGGAATGCCTGAGCGTGCTGCAGGATGCCCGGGACACTCCAGGGCTGCTGGCTGCATTCCAGCCCTTTTCTGAGGCCGTGCTCCTGCTGAGCCGCCTGACAGCCAAGCGCCTCCAGGAACTCGGGGATTGTCCTGCAGGGAAGAGCTTGGCCCAGCCCCTGCAGCTGCTCCACAAGTGCGTCTCACTCATCCACACGGCCCTGACACGTTCCAGGGATAGCCAAGCTGACCTCTCCCAGGATTCTGTTTTCCAGCTGACGGAGAGGACCATCAGGGAGCTCCTCTCCATGCTCACGGAGCCCCAGGACAGGAGTGGGATCTTCTCCCAGCAGGTGAGCAGGCTCCAGGCTCTCCTCTCCCACCCTGACCCCCTGAGCCTCTCTGAGGGCCGGTTCAGCTCCCACTTGGAAGTGGTCATTCTCCATGGAATGCTGCTGGCAGAGTTATCCAGGCCGGATCTGCAGCTGGAGCTGGTGGAACATTGCTGGGCCCTGCTGCAGCTGAGGAGGAGCATCTGCAGCCACCTGAGCCGGAGGGAGGGCAAGGGAGAACAGGCACTGGAGCGGGAATGTCACAGCTTGAGGGAGGAGCTGGAAAACCTGGACCGAGCAGTGCTCAGGGCCACGCTGTGCCAAATCCTGGATGGATTCTTCGAGGAGAAGGAGCCCCTGAGGCAGCTGGTTGAAGGTGCCCTTAGCCTTGCCCATTCAGGATGTTGTCCAGCAGGACCAGGAGGAATTTTAAGGAAGCTCCAGCCCCTGATTGCCGCCTTCTTCGCTCAGGCCCAGCGGATACTCCGAGCGGCCGATCTGCTCCTGGCCAGGTGTGCCAAGGCCCAAACCGCCAGGGAAATCCGGGAGGGCGTGGAGCACTTGCGGAGCCTCCTGGCCAGTCTCCCTTCCCTGCTCATGGAAACAAGTGGGAATACCAAGGAGCAGCTCCAGGCCCTGTGCTGTGCCTGGGCCAGAGCCACCAACAGCCTCCTGTGCTGCTTTGAGGAGACCATCGGCATGAGCGAATTCCTTGAGTTATCCATCCTGGAGCTGGCCAAGCAAAAGGAATGGTGTGAGGCAGCACTGGAATGCTGGGATCCCGAGGGATTCTCCTGGCACAGCGCTCGCCTCATGGGCTGGGCGCGCTGGGTGGTGGGAGCCTCCACCCGGCACGTGGACAGGACCACGGATCCCATCTTCAGGAATGGTTTGCTGGTGTGGGTGGAGCAATTGGCCAAATCCATCCTGGAGCTGGGAGCAGTCACGGCCCTCATCCCAGGAAGGTTTTCCTGCCTCCAAAGCCAGGGTGCTTTTTCCCAGGCAGCCAGCTCCCTGATGGACTCTGCTCTCCGTGTCCAAGCAGGGCTGGATGGGTCCAACCACCCGGAGATCCTCAGCCCGCTCCGGGAGCAAGTGCGGAGCACCAGGGTGGAAAAGGGGCTGGAGCTCAGCCCATCCCACGCTGGGACACGAACCAGCACGGATGAGGCAGCGTTCCAAGGAGATATCCAAAGTCATCCGTCTTCACCACCAGCTAACCTCCACCTGGATCCATGGAAAGGGGATACACACCCTGTCATCACAGCTCTCCTGGGAGCATCCCAGGCTGGTGACATGGACACTGTCCGTGCTGCCTGCTCCATCCTGCTGGAGCTCTCCGATGGATATGTGGAAGCAGCACGGGAAGCGCTGCCTGTGGCTGAACCCCCCCAGCTCCAGGTGCTGGAGCAGCACTGGGATATCAAGGCACTTACCCCAAGGATCATCAGCCTGGCCACAGAAACAGCCCCTGGGCAGCTCCCTGCTCCAGGCAGGCTTCTCCAAATGGCACTCAGGCTCTCGGGAAGGATCCAGGAGACTCGGGAGTGCCTGGCAGCTGTGGCAGGCTCTTGGAATGGTCTGGCCCAGCAAGTGCTTGGATTTATCCTGTCAGGTGACTTTCCAAGAGGGAAGCAGGCTTTGGATGAGACCCTGCTGGGTTTAGCAGGAGCAGTGCAGGCGGCTGGAGGCATTGCAGGCACAGCCTGCAGTAGGGGAAATCCCAATCCCTCTCATGTCCAGGAGAGCTTTCTGCAGCTCCAAGCCAAGTTTTCCCATGCTCAGCTGAACACCAAAGGGTTTCTGGAGAAGGCAGTGTCCTTCAGGGAATCCTGTGGGATGGAAAAGGCCATCCTGGAGCTGCACGGTGTCCAGTGGGCCATTGGCATGCGTGTCCTGCTGGATGCCATGGATCAGTTCGTGGGCAGGGATGTCCTGTTCCTGAGGGAGCTGAGCAGAGCCGTGAGGAACAAGGTTGGCCCACGGAGCCTCCTGGCTGCTGTGGCTGAGAATTCCCTCAGGTTGCAGGAGGCTGCCCGACTCTCCTACTTATCCTGCCCTGGAGATCACGGTGCCAGAGAAATCCTGGTGCTCCGGGAGGAGATCCAGGTGCTCATGGAAGCGCTGCTGGATGTGTCCAACACCCTCCTGCTCTCCCCACTGCCTACTGCCAGCTTGGCCACACGCTTCGAGCTCCTGCAGAGGGATGTGGCCCTCAGGGCCAAGGCGTTGTTGCTCCACATGGAAAGGGTCAACAAGGAACAGCTGCAGCTCATCCAAGATGTGGTTGGAGCAGCTCTGTCCAACCTCCCCCAAGAGGAGAGGCAGAGGAGCAAAGAAGGTTTTGAGGAGAAGGCAAATCAGCTCATGGCTCATGTCCAGAGGGTCAGAAACACCCTCCAGGGTGCTCTGGGGTCCGGTGCTCAACTGGCATCACAGCCCGACCTGCTATCCATGGCTGACCACCTCCTGCTCCTCACGGCTGATGTGGTGGGAAGTGCCTGGCGGCACTTCCAGAGCCAGCAGGACACTGGGGACCCCTGCCAGGACCCTGGGGATCCCCACCTGGAAGGCATGGTGTGGTACTGGTCGGCCAAGGCACACTACCTTGTCACACAGCTCTGGGTTATCCCTGGAATTGACAGGGACATCCTGAGGTGCCTCACAGAATGCCTGCAGCAGGAACGCTTCCCAGGATCACCCAGCAGCACAGCTGGACTCTCCCCAGCCCCAGAGCCCCCTGAGGCAGCAGGAATTCATCCATGCAGGAGCAGAGGAGCGAGTGGAGCCATGCGGGAAGCACGTGAACTGGTACGGGAGCTCTTTTCCCTGGCAGGGTGTTGGTCTGGGCTGTCCATCATTCCTGGTGCTCCCAGCATGGAGCAGGAATGCAGGCAGGGCCTCTGGAGGTCAGCAGGCTGACCCTGGGCCACTCAGACAGCTCAGGTTGCTGGCAGCCCTGGATTCCTGGATATCTGATCGGCCAGGCTCTCCTACATCCATCCCAGTCCATTACAGAGGCAGAGAGGCTGTAACACTCTCCCTCACGTCCACACATTCCCTCTGGGAATACCAACAGCTCCATTCCCATGGGTGTCAGGAGCTGGGAAAGGCTTTGGCACAGACCCAGGTCCCTCAGCAAAGTGCTTTAGAGCTCTCATTGTGCTGGGAATTAATTGCAAACTGTCAGCTTGCAGGACACCCCATTCCCATTTTGAGATGGCTCCAAGGGCTTTGGATTTAGGGAGAAGGGCTGGTGGGAAGGTAGAGTGGACCCAGAAGGGGGTGGGCAGCTCTCCCACCAACCTTACTCACCAAAATCTCCTTCAGAAACATCCAGGTGGAGGAGACCACTCGGCATCGCTGTGTCCACACATTCCAGGTCTGGAATCTGCTCCATTACTGCCCCGACAGCACCAGGATGGCCCTTCCAGCACCTCCCCTGCAAAGCAGGAGAGAGGAAACTGTGACAAGTGGCAAGGTGGCCCCAGCAAGGTGTCCCAGGTGACCCAGGACATGGCCACAAGGAGGCTCCACATGGCTCAGTTCCTGCGGAGGAAGGGCCCCATTGCGGTAAGGCAGCGTTTCATCCCTCTAGTTTTCCCTTAGGATCATGCAACTCCATCCCAAATCCCTGTGTCACCCAGCTCTTGGCAGAGTGGCACCAGTTCTATTTATGCAAAATACTCCAAATTCCTTCCTCCTGGTTGGATGTGAGCTTGGCATCCTGTCCTTTCCTCAGGATGTATCTGAGCCTCCTGGACCTTCCCTGTTCTGCAGGAAAAGGTTTTTTTCCCCTTCTCTCCCCAATCCCATTGATTTTTATCCCATTCCAGAGCAAGGAGCAGTTTGTTGCCTGTGCCAGGCAAATGGTTTCCGATGGGCAGGTGGTTGTTAAGTTTGGGAACATCCTCGCCAAGCACTGCCTGGACCAGAGGTGCTCCATGGAGCTGCTCCGTGCCACTGAGCACACCCAATCCATCAGCAGCCAGCTCGGCATCGTGGCCAGGTGAGCTGCCAGCAGCTGGGATCACCTCTCCCAAGGTCATCCAAGAGGGATCCCTTCTCCAAGGAATGTGGGTGGTGGTCCCCAGAGGTCCTAGGGGAGGCGGGTATTGTCCAAGAGCTGAGGAACAATTTGGAGGCCTCCCTTCCCTCCATGGGTTTCCCTGGGAACAAGCTGGGTTCGGAATAACAACACTGTCAGGATGTCCAATGTCCTTCCAATGAAATCCTTTGGAATGTCTTTGAAGGGTGAAAGCAGTGACTGGGGAGAGCAGGGCCTCCTCTGAGCTGCTGCTCAGCAACGTGCAGAACCTCATTCAAGCAGTCCAGCACGTCCTGAGGGCGGCCGAGGCGGCGTGTGTCAAAGTGAGTCCATCGTGGAATCCATCCTGGAATTGCTTGGGTGGGAAGGGCTGCTCCAAGCCCCATCCAGCTTTGAGCAGTTCCAGGGATGGAGCAGCCACAGCTTCTCTGTGCCAGGGCAATTCCATGCTGTGGGAGTTTCATCCAGGTCCTTCTATGGGAGCTGGGATCTGGCTGCTGTGGGACTCCAGCTGGAGCAAATATTCCTTATGGAATACTTTCATTCATCCCAGGCATTGACTGTCCTTGAAGTCACCTTTACCTGGTCCATTCCCCACTTAAATTTTTGGATCATAGAGCACCCTTATTTGGAATTAGTCCATGCTATCCTCTTTATTCCCGTAAGCCAAATTCCCAAGAGTTTCCCATCCAGCTGCCATCTACAGCCACCTGGTCTGACTGTAAAGTCCATGGGAGCAGATTTCTCCTGAAAACAACTGGAAAACAAGTGCAAACATCACCAGCCTCTCCCTGAGGCAGCATTTCCATCTGGATCCCATCCTCCTCTATAATCCTACTGCTTTTCCTGGGATCAGCATCTCTTTTTGAAGGAAACACAGATTTTTCAGAATCACATTTGCTGAACAATCAGCCCCAAGGGTGACAAAGCTCCTCCTGTGCTTAATTAAACTTAGCACTTCCTCTATTTGCCCATTTTTCACTTTGCTGATGCTGAATTAATTAATTCATTAATTTTGACTATCCAGATCCCAAAGCCCTTATGACCTGGAAATTTCCCTTTGGAAAATTCCCAGCTTATCAACAAACTGCCCTCCTTTCCTCTCCCTGTAAGAAGCTTTTGAAGCATTCTGAAGCATTCTGAAGCATTAAGAGATAGCGATGCCATGTGGATCATGCACACATTGGCACATCCAGACTTTTCCATAATTTAGGATGCACAGGGATATATTAAACCAATTCCTTTGTCCAACAGGGTTTGGGACAACCCCCAGCAGACCCTGAAGAAGAAGAAGTTGCTGCTTTCTGCCAGCAGTGGAGGAAAACCCTGACACAGCACAGAGCCAAGGAGGCTTTAAATTCCACCCGGGATGAATTGGGGCTCCGGAAAACTCGAGGGGCAAAGGCTGAGCCCACCCTGATGTCTCTGGTGCAAGAGCAACCCCCTTGGAGCAGGAATATCCCAAAGCATCCCAGTCCTAGGAAAGGACACACAGTTATGGACAAACATCTGTAAATCCAGAGGGGCTCCTTGTCCCAGTGCTGTTGGAAGCAGAGGGATACTTTGCAGTGTGAAGGATTCATGCTGGAGTTTTTCATTGTGGCAGGAAAATCTTGGAACAGGCTCCGTGGGGAGGCCAGGAATCTTCTGGTGAGTGTTTTACCCCCAGGTGGTGAGATGGGATGGATGGGGCTCTGGAGAATCCCGATCCAGTGGGAAGTGTTGGAGGTATCCCTGCCCATGGCAGGGGTTGGAATGGGATGAGTTTAAGGTCCCTTTCCACCCAAACTATTCCAGGATTCTATGATCCAGGGATGCTCAGGCTTTGTGCCATCTTTCAGCCTTTCCTCTTTCACATATCCAGGGATACAGCAGTGGGGAGTGCTTTGTCTCACCTGCTGCCCCTGAGCCTGCAGATTTCTTCCCAAAATCCCACTCAGCCCCAGGATTCTCTCCTATCCAGAGTAAACATTCAATCCCCAAGATCACCTACCTCACAGCTTCCAGAGCATCCTAGACTGGTGACACTGCTGCTCCTGTATCCTGGCTCTCCACGTCCATCCTTCCAGTCTCAGGATCGTAAATTGTCCGATGGAAACACTGCTCCATGTTGGAATTCTGCAGGAGGTGGAAGGGAGCCTCCTCTGTGGAATACACAATCCAACACCACAGCAGATCACAACTGGCTCCATGGTGGCTGCAGCCCATTCCAGCCCACCTTGGTGTCCCACCTGCATCCCAACCACCTTCCTCAGACCAGGAATTCCATTACGGGCATGGCAGCGAGGAATCTCCTCCATATTCCAAGAAAAAGCAGCAGCAGGCACACTGGAGACTCTGGGAAGCTATCTGCAATGGATAAAGCAGGGGAGGGAAGGAGGGAGGAAGGCAGGAAGGAAATACACATGGAGAAAACAGGCTGTGAGGACTCACAGGCCTTTGTATCCATGCCCTATTTCCACACTATTTTTCCCTGCTGGCTTGGTTTTTTGAGGAAAACCTCAACCAGCCACACCAGTGAGTAGATGAAGAAACAACAGATTACTAATAAGGACTAATGGGTTACTCCAAAATCACAACCCAGTGCCATGTCTATTCTCTACTTCTGCTACACAAAAAAAAAAAATCATAAAATTAATGGAATTCATGCTCTGGCAAACCAGGAAGACAAAATGAAACCACGACTGCCTTCGGAGATGCCTCCTCTGCTGTGCAAGAATCACAAGCTTCCCTTGGCTCACCCATGCAAGGCAAAACCTCAGAATTTGGGATAAACACTCTGTTGTCCCAATGGAAACACCACTTGGCCAACAGAAAAGAGGGAAACGTCCATGTCCATCACTTGGCCAAGGGAAAAACAAGAGGAAAAGGTCCACCAAGGAAGAGACTTAAAGCAGAGAAAGCTTCCAAAGGGGTGGGAAGCAGATGATTGACTGAGAGGCTGGCACATTTTGATTGGAAAAGCAGCTGCCTAGGAATGACTGCACTCCCTCTGGAGAAAAAGCAGCCCCAAAGGCTGGACAGGAGGTCTGGAGGACACAGTTGTGCTCTCCCATACAAAACCTGGGGAATTCACGGCATGCAGGATGTTCCATGATGGAAAATGGCAACTCTCTCTCCATGAGACCTAGGGATCAGGTACAAGGTTATGTTAAAACCCCACGAACCATCCCAAAAAAAAAAGCCCAGCTTTGGTCCCCCTCCTCCCAGCTGCCACCATATGTGCACGGAGTCATCACCAGGAATTAACTGTACCCTTTTTAATTGTTTTGTTAAAAATGTCGTCGAGACACCATGAATACAAGTACTGCAGTTACAGCCATACAAAAAAAGCAATACAAATTAAGCAGCTGAATACAAAAATACGTTGAAATACATGAACACCACAATGGAACTCGGAGCACTAAATCCCAATCGTGTAGGCGTGGAAAAAAATTAAATAAAAACCTTTTTTTTTCGTATTAGACAATGTAGTTTTCTCCACTTTGAACAGTTACTTTTGCTAGTTATGTACTTCACAATTTCTTCTATGTACAGCATAGAATAAAATACTTTTAAAAGATATGACATTTTTCATCCTCAATATGTGATATAGTCTCTTTTACACTAATATTGACTGCAGGAATAAAAACTGTCCGTGTCTTACATCAACTCATTGGAAAAGGAGGAGCGACGCTTTCCTTTGAAATCATTTCCGTGAGGTTTTCCATCAGTTCAGGGGTTTGGCAGTCCTGGAACGGCATCTCTCCCGGGAATTCATGTACATAATATTGCTTGGATCTATACAAATGTGGCAATCGGATCTAAGTGGTGGTTGGGAAAGAGGCAGCTCACACATATACAGCTCTGGGAATTTTCCATGACTTATTTACAATGAAAGTGCTTTTCTCAGCTCTAACACGATCCGGGGGGATTGGTTTCCTTTCTACAGGTCAATTATTAGTCTCCCTGAAATTGGAAAGAAAAAAGGATTCTCTAGAAAATACCACAGCTTTGCAAACACTCGAGCGTACTGGAGAACTGCGTGTGGTTCGGAGATTAGCAGCTGAAAAGTGGTGGGAATTATAATTTAAAAATAAATAAAGCCAAAAGAGGTAACCCAGGTACAAAACAGCAGAGAACTGCAATACCCACAACGGTAAAAAGACTCCAAAGCCGTCTGCTAACAAAACGGGGAAGCAGTTGGATCAAAAGTCTTGAAAACATCTTTTAAGGATTTATCATCCGACTCCCCGTTGGGATCGCTCTCCGGGGCCTGCGTTACCTGTCCGGGCTGCCTCACCTGCCTGGGGTCGCTGTACTGTGGCCGGATTAACCCCGACAGAGCCTGGATTGGGAGATTATGGACGGCAGGGGCAGCGCTGGAGTGTTTAGCCTGAGATTTACTGGTGCTGTTTGCCTTGTCTGAAGCAGCTTCCGCTGATCCTTCCGTGGGTTTTTCCGTGTTGGAGGCAGCCTTCTGCTGGGACGCATCTTCCGCAAGACTCGGCTCATTTTTACTGGAATTTTTCAAAATGCTTTTTTTCTGGTTCTCTCCATTCTCTCCCGAACTGGCTGGAGCCGTGTCCGAGGATGAGCTGTGATCCCTGGGATCGTACAAACTGATCCCGCTCAGGATGGAGCCGGGAGTTCCCAGCCTAACACCACTGGATGATAATTTGGGTGCATAGGGAGGCAGAGCATCGGGGTCGGATTTTGGAGTCGTGGCTTCTGAGGGCTGGGATGAGCTGGCAGCAGCTCTGGCAAGCCGGGGGTCAAACTTGGGAGGGTGGGAATCCTTCCCGACTCCATGGTGAGTGTCTGCACTTGACAGTCTGTGGAGTCTGGGATCAACGTTCTTTTGCAAGCGAGGATCCCCCAGTTTGCTGGAGCTACTGGCATGGGAATCTGTGGATGGATCCAAGTAGCCACCCCGGCCCACAAGGCTGTTTTTGGCCTTGGCAGCGAGCCGGGGATCAGCTGGCATCGCGTTGGGGTGTGGATCGTTCTTCAAATTCCGCAGTTTATTCAGTCTCTGGTCAGCAATGAGTGGAGGGAGAGGTAAATTGATGGAAGAGACGGGGTCGGGTTTAGGCAGAGGGATTGGGAGCAAGTCCTCGGGGGCCCACACAATGTGCTTGGCAAAGTTGGGTTTCATCAGGGTCACATCCATCTTAATGTGGCTGAACTGCCGCAGCTGGGAGCGGGGATCCCGTAACGTGACGCCCGGCAGCGGCTCCAAGGGAATGAGGAAAGCTCGTTCCCTCAGCTCCCTCTCCGAGTCCTCCTCATCATCATCCAGCCCTTTCTGCTTGACCTTCACTCCGGCATGGGGGTGGTGCAAATCCAGCTTGGCCCCGGGCAGGGAGGGGCCGGGATGGCCGCCCTCGCTGACCTTGTGCATCCGCGGATCGCGGGCCAGCCGGGGATCCAGGGACGCCGACTCCGAAGGTTTCCTGGGATTGGGCCTTGGAGACGCCCGGAGTCTCGGGTCAGCAGCCTGAGGCCCCACACCTTTGTCTTTTGCCAGCCTGGGATCTGTTGGCATCCCAAGCATGTGCTGCTCCGTGGAATGTTGTTGCCGATTCCTAAAGTTTTCGCTTTGTTTCTTTAAGGTTTTGAGGATTGATTTAACACTGCTCCCCTCTTCCTCCTCACTACTGGAATACCAGTTGACATTGTCATCTAAAAATCAAAGAAATGCCACAAAATTTAGATTATTCCAGCAAATAATTCTTAGAGAATCCAACACTCCCTAATGGGAGTAAATTCAAACTGAAAAGATCTCATATGAAATCACTCCCAGTGTCATAAAAATCACAACCTCAAATGATTTGTAAAATCCATGTAATTAAAGAAATGCCATTACACAAAAACCTGGAGATAGTGGAGGTAGAATACAACACAGCCTGGGAGTGTCTCCATATCCATCAATATGAATTTGGGAAAGTAACCTGCTTTCAAACAGTCCTTATGGGTACTAGTAAAAAAAACATATCTAAAATCTGAGTCTTGACAGGAGAAGGGAAAGTAAAATGGCCCCTTGCAGTGGTCTTTAATCCAATTACAAATTTAATTACAAATTTGCTGCCTTACTTAATCCAAATCCAAAAGTTTGTAGGAGAGGTTGAGATTCAGGAAGGGAAGAAATTACAGTATTTTATTTTAAAGGATATCAGAGAAGGAAAAATGCTGCTCTAGAGGAAACAGATCAAGAAGGGCACCTGAAGAAACAGGACAGAGAATGCACTTCCAGTCCTGGCAGCGAGAAACAGCCCCTCTGGTGCAACAAGGGATTTTCTTGTAATTACCAACCAAAAGTAATTATCAACCAAAAGGCCTTTTAAAAGTGCAACTAGATTCAGAAATTATTCACTGGAGCCAGGATGGACTGAACCTACACTAAGATCCTAGAGCAAGCTGGGAAGAAGAGCTGAAGACACTGAGCTGCTGCTGCTTCCAGTAACTGTGAGCAGTGACATGAGGCGAGCCAACGCCAGCCGACCTGCTGACCATGGCCTTTCAGTATGGTGAGAATTCCACCCAAACCCTGCTCACCCTCATCTTTGCTCATGGCCCGCTGGCCCTGGCTGCTGGCAGAGTCTCCATCCCGCTGGTGCTTCTGGCTGAGCCTCGCATACAGGGCCTTCTGCATGGCCGGCAGGAAGTCGGGCACGTTGATGCCCTGGTTGTGGCCCATGTGCCCACCCATGCAGTCCGACTCGCTCCCGCCCGGATGCGACTCCGGAGCCATGAGGTGAGCCTGGTGATCCGTAAATTCTCCGTGCCATGCTCCGTCTGCAGGACAAAACTCCAGTTAGCAGTTATCCTAGAGAAATGTTGATAGCTATAAACATGGAATCATGGAATGGACTGGGTTGGAAAGGAGCTTAAAGGACATCCAGTTCCATGCCATGGCAGGGACACCTTCCCCTATCCCAAGCTGTTCCAAGCCACATCCAGCCTGGCCTGGAACACTTCCAGGGATGGGGCAGCCACAGCTTCTCTGGGAAAACTCTGCCAGGGCCTCCCCACCCTCACAGGGAAGGATTTCTTCCCAATATCCCGTTTTACCCTAAAGCATAACATGACTTAACAACACAACTGAGAAAGCCAGAACACTGAAGACATTCCAGGAAGCTTCTATCCAAAATTCATCCAGCAGATGTCCTTACCTCCAGAATTATTGGCTGGCTGGAAGTTGTGTACAGCTTGGTGGGAATAATAGTTGTCATAGAAGTCAGCCGGGTTCTGCATGGGCTCGTACTCGCCGGGCATCTGCTGGTACTGTGGCCCCGGGGGGCAGTGATTGTCCCTTGGCATGTTCACCATGTGTCCCTGCACTCCAGGGGAATTGTAGGATCCTCCCATCCCCGGCGGGGTGAGGGGTGGCCCACCCTGCTGCCCCTGCATGGGCATTCCAGTCTGGTTCTGCGGGCCCATGTACCCCGGGGGAACGCCCTGCATGGGGGGGCTCTGCGGCATTCCCGGCCCTTGGGGGCCTCCGCAGGGGTGGTGCCCAGGAGAACCGGGGTGCATGGGGGGCCCGTTGTGTCCCTGGGACATGCCAG